ATTATATAAGGTTTAGTAGGACCAACTGTCAGAAAGTGGCACGTGAGATTGAAGTTAATGGATAATAATAAAAAAATATATAAGGTGTTTTAGTCATGATTTGGCTACTTGGTTTGCTTTGGGTATATATCCAATCATATACAAGAGGGGGGAAATTACTTTATTACTTGTACCGATAGTTTGGATGCATTATTTGGATGAGCTATTTGGATCGAAATAACTCGTTGGGTAAATAAAAAGTGAGCTGTATTATTTTGGGGCCGTCACAATTGAAATGATGTATAACAAGTCAATTGAAATTAAATACCTCCTCCTCCTAGATATTTCAATTAACTCACTGCTCCCTCCTCCCCCCACCAAAGATATGCCAAGAAGATGGTAACCAAGACCAACTCTAACCACACGCGATAGTCAGTAAGCAATCGGACTAAAGATGAAAGAGCATGTTGTGCCACTACATGAGCAGCTCTGTTAAACCTCAACGGAGCAAAATGACACAATACGGTCTCAACAAAAGATAATAATAAAAAAAAGACAGATCTCTTCCAAGATGGCTCAGCCTAACGAATGAGAAGTTTCCTTGGACGTCACATGTCGGATGACCAATTGAAAATCGCCACATAATACAACAATAGAAAAATTATGTATTAGACACCATGTCATAACATCTCGAAATGCGAACAGTTCCAAAACAAAAACATGTGAGATACCATCATAAAATGTAACAAAGGCAAAATTAATGCTTCATTCACTTGAAAGACCAATGAATTATGAGGCAGTTTCTTGATTGGTCTTCATAGCCTCATCAAAATGAACTATGATGCCCCAAAGGGGCATGTGACATCCTGATTACTTCTCTGGGGACTTTGATTACCGGGACTTAATTCTGATTTATCTATGTGGTTTACTTTTCGCCTTTCAAGGCTTCTGCCCCTCCGCTATTTTCCATTCTTCTACTTGAGCTGTCAATTGACAGAATATTACCGGGCTTTAATTTAGAGTGATGTAAAATCATAGATGATTTTGCATCAACTCTTCCATATACACCACAATAGGAAAACTATGTCAATTACGGCTGTTTTAGTGACTTTAGGTGTATAAAACAGTTACTTACATGCTAGAACTACGAGAGTATTCTCAGGGTTGTTCTTCGTTGTTCTTTTTTTATCAAATGGATGCAACTGCATCCTACCTTTCATTCAAAACCACCCGGGGTTCAGAGATCCCCTGAATATCGTACATCAACCAGTTACAAAGAGTGTTGTTCTTCTTCGTTGTTCAATTCCTACTATCTTCCATAATTTTTTAGTAATCCTAAAATCAAAGAAGAAAGGGTCATATCCTCAATGGAATCCCAAGCAGGCAGGAAAAGTGCTTATAGTGGATATGTATGTATTAATTGAAGAGAATCCCTATATATAGAGCAACACAACTCCTCGACATTACTCGAGCCACAACATTGGTTTTGATGGAACGATGTCGTTGCTTGGTATCCCGGCGTTATTAATGATGGGCCTAAATAATTAAATCTAACAGTTCTTTTGGCCCATGGAGTTTCTATTTATTTTTTAGTTGATTTATTTTATGTTATCTAAATGCTCTATACCAATCAATATGATATTTGGAGCGAAAATCATTCTAGGCATAAACAACTCTCCAGCCTTTCGGTATTAAAATGAAAGATAAGCCTTATCGGCAGCTTAGATAAACTTGTGTCATTGGTTGTCAGGAGATGATATGATTGTCATTTCTAATTGTCATCTTTGAGTGAAAATTACAGGAAAAATTGTATAGCCAGATGCTTGTCTAGTTTCCTTAATTGAGAAATCTAGTGTCGTTTTATATTTTGAGGTGCTACTCAACTCATTATACATAGTACAATTAAGAATGGTAATAGGACACGTCAAGGTAGATATCTCGATATTCATACTCATTTTGTAACATGTAAGGTTCAAGTCGGATATTTTGTTCTATGGTGCGGGTCGGGGCAAGTCGACCTATACGGATATGTATTGTAACGAAAAATACTTGATACAATAATGACTTTTATTAAAAATTTGACAAATAAACTGTATCATAGTTAAATTATTCAAGAAATTGAGGTTTATATCTATTTTCAAATTTATTTTAACTTCAATTCAATGTCATAAAAGTAAAATCTTTAATAATTCCTATAAAATTACTTATAATTTACATAATAACGAGTCAACAATAGACAGATCATGACGAGTCAGGTTGAATATAGTATCATGTTCGTTACTATGACGAGTATTACTCGTTAAAAATAGATCAAACAGGTATGATAATTATGAATGATTAAGGAATCCTTGAGATAACAATGAGATGGAAGGACCCAATACTTCCACGTCAAAAGAAGTCCCAAACCATGCATGGAAGACTACATTTGGTCTTTGGACCATTACGTTTCTATTATTGTTTTTAAATGAAAATAAATAAATAAATAAATAACTGAATACGTCGACAACAATTGTAGGTTATTAGGTTTCCTCTTTTAATGGGAATCGAGACATGTTTTAATCCACTCCTTTCCTTTAGCATTTTCGATTGTCCTCACCTAGGCCGTAGGTGGGGAAACTTTTCAATATGTAGTTCTTGCTTTATGTTAGAGTACCCACATTGAAGTATTTTTGCAATTAGGCCTAGCAGCGTGTGTATATATATATATGGTGGCTTCTATCGTACCTTGGGTAAAATCTAGGGTATGATATATCTTGAGTAAGAAAACGCTATCTAGACCTCGAATTAACCGAATTTTTAGGCATGATACGATACTCTAACCCATAATGAGTAAACCCTAGGTCTTAGTTTTCATAATTATAGAGCTTAACCCCTAAGATTGTCCATGTAATTTGCTGTATATATTTCGACAAATCATGACCGTCGATTTTTGTTTCTAATTAAATTGATCTTAGTGTATAAGATTTATAGAATTAAGAACTAGAGTTTCATCTGTAAGGTTTGGGAATAATACCAGATGTCAAACTCCGGTAAATTCGAGGTCCATATAGTGTTTTCTTGCTCAAGGTATGCCGTACCCTTGATTTTATCCAAGGTACGATAGAACCACCCATATATATATTGGATGCTAAAAGAATGCTTCTATCTGTTAGTTAAATTAAATGAATTTGGACAATGCTGATAAAATATTTTTCGTAATTTAGCAGTTCCTCACATTATTCACATAAACATATAAACAAAATAAAATATTACAAACGAACAAGGGTTTGGTCCAGTTGTACTACCATTGATCTTGAACCTTAAGATCAAAGGTTTGAATATCTGAAATGACACCGGACTAAAAACAAACATATCTCGACCTTATAAATAAATCCATATTTTTAAATGCACAATTATTTTTTTTGTTAATTGAATTCATCGAAACAGTGCCATTGTGTTTAGTATCTAGAATTGATCATATGTCAGACCACCAATTTTTTAATATTTACTGGTTTTGACTACCACTTTATACCCATATATTCCTGTCAGTTTGTATTGAACCCTGTCTTTTATGCAATAATATTAGTAACTATTATTACCTGAAAAGTGAAAAATGATTCATTATCATTAAAACTTAATTAAAATGGTCCAGCATCCCGTGAGATTTTCTGAATATACATATATATAGCCATGATAGAGCCACGAAGGGGAACAGAATCGGCAGCGCATTAATCCATCGCCTGATATCCAACTTTTCCCCACCTCTCTTTCGTCTACTAGAAAGAGAGAAAGCTAGTGAGCTACGAAATTAATGAAGCCCCATCCCTGTTGTTGCAGTTTCACTTTCTTAAATTTAATTACCATGTCTACATATTTTAGGGTTTTAGCAAAGCTCTGGTTTTAGCAAAGCTTTTGGTAAAAAAGAAGTTCCTCTCTATATTTATCGAGGTTATATTGCCACTACACAAATCTCGGTTCTTGTTATATGTATGAAATATTTATTTATATATTTTTATTCTGAAAAAAAGGACACACATAGTTTCAAGTTCTGACTTCGACGCGGGTTTGAGCCCTAGTTCTCGCAAATTAAGAATTTTGTAATTTTTTTTATTTAGGGTTTGGAGTTTGGTTGGAGTAGTCCCTTTCATATTTCACTTTTTGACCAAGATTGAATCATAGTTGGTGAGAATGAGTTTGTTGAAGTAAATATGACTCAACAACTGCTAAAGCCAAAAGGCAAACGTGTTCAAACAATAGAGAGATGCCTTGAGAGGGAGTTCACCAAATATTTTTATTTTTATTTGTTTGCTCAATGTGATAATTAATGTAAAGTGTCCTATCTTAAAGAGGTTTTTACAAGTGAAAGTGGACCTCAATTCTGTGACTGTTAGCAACCTAATTATGGGCACACTATTACTGAGTAGTGATTTTCAGGCAACCACCCAATCGAAACCTATGTGCAATTGTGTTGTGAGTAAACTTCACAAAACAGGTTCTAGAGTAGCGATATTCACAAAACTTAGGGGCAATTACAACTATATTAAGTCATATGTACCATATCACGAAAATGAACGTAATGATCCTCGCATTACCATTAGATCGGCTCTAGAGGTGGCAAATGGATTGGATTCATGGACTGGATCAAATAGAAAGGTGAATTCGTGGATTGGATCATATGAATTGGTTGATTGATCCATGGAACCAAATAACATCCAATCCTTGGACCAAAATGTAAATTTGAAAATTTCAGATACTAAAATGTCATAATAAAAAATTTAAGTACCAAAATGCAATTTTTCAATAATGATTTTGTGTAAAAAATAAATTTTATGTACCAAAATGTAAAAAATATAGGTAGTAAATCGTAATTGCCATTTGGATCCATGGATCAATTCATGAATCCACCAATCTAATTGGATTTGGATCAAATGAATTGAATTTAAATGGAATGGATTAGTTGGATATTTAAGTGAATAGATTGGATTGGATTGAATTGACACATCTACTATATATTACTATACGAATCTCAACGGTATTGATAAGATGAAGAAGCCAGACTGTTCACTAATTCGCAGCTTTACCTGAATGATAGAACAACACCATATCAGTAATCACTATACGGTTCCTGTTGACTCATAATAAACCTTTATACATACTTTGTGTCACAATTCAGCTTAATATGACATTCGATAAGGTTGTAGTTCATGTTTAGTTCCATAGACATGTATTCATCATTACTATATACAAAACTATGTATATATTCGATCATGCATGTCTTTCTTTTTTTTACTAGGACAACACTGAATCAAGTTATACTACATACTGGACAAAAATAATACCGAAATGAAGAAATAAGTACGATGGTCTCATAATGAAAACGAAATATTACTGATAATTTCGCGTTTACTAGGATGCTAGATGATGGTTTGATTGCCACATCATCAAAAATTTAACGGTGTTAACATAATCCAACAGAGACTAACGGTCGGTGTTGGTGGTGAAACAATTCGTAAAGTTAGTAGCCAATAAAAAAGAAAAATAATTCGAGTGGCAAACATGAAAGATTTATGTAACTTGAGTGACCAAACGTGTAATTTAACCATAATACAATAAAGAAAGAAGAGTGGCTAGGAGATATATTGGCCGCTCCCTCCCTTCCCTTCCCTGTCGGAAAGCAGCTACTGTTTTGTCATGCGCGTTTTCTGAAATTGAACCAATCCAATCTCTCCTCCTCCCTTCCAAAACGAAATTAAAAGAAAAAGAAAAGAAAAAAATTGTGGGTCCCATTCACTTTCCCCCAAATCACTTCTCGAAAGAGAAAAAAAAGGAAAGGATGGAAAGCACCAGCAGCACAGCAGAGAGCAAGAAAGAGAAGGAGAGGAGAGGAGAAAAAAAAGGTTGAAATATACCACGCGTTTCCCCAAACTTCCTCAGTCCTCCTCTCCCCCTCTTTCTCTCTCCTTCAAAAACCCTAATTTCCTCTCTCTAAACCTCCACCAAATTGATTCCTCCTGCTCCCCGTTCCTCCAATCTATTCGATCACCGGTGTAGCAAGCTCGACAGATTAATACTGCTAGCGTTTGTTCGTTCCCGATGGACGACGAGGCGAATAAGAATAATCCCGATCCAGCTGTCGACGACTTCGCCATCAGCGACTCCAGCTGCTGGACGACGCTCGGATCCACAGCGGACACTGTCAACTACTTCTTCTCCGGCGACAGGCACGAGAGCTCGATACTCAGCGACTTCGGGTGGAGCTGTACCGCTACCTCTCCTCCTCCTCCTCTCCTCCACCACCACCACCACCAGAGTAGTGTTGGAGAGAGGGTCGGCGGTCCGGCAGCTGGAATAGGAACGCCTTCTGAGAGCAGCAGCAGCGGTCTACAAGGATCCGGCGTTGGATCCGGAGATGTGGCGTCGGTTTCGAATCCGTCGGTGTCGTCGAGCTCGAGCGAGGATCCGTCGGCCGAGAAGTCGACGGGATCGGGCGGTAAGCCGCCTGAGATACCGTGAGTTTTTTGGATTCCATAGTTACCCCTTTTTCGTTTCCTCTGATTCCTTGCTTTTCTTTTCATTCGTCTTCCGCTCATCATCAAAATATCAATCATCCATTCATACACAAAAAACGTGATGATATTTCTCTGCTGGCAGGATCGTAATTAACTCACATTCCCAGGGGCGAAACCGTTAACTCGCCTCTGTTTTTGTGTTTTTTAAAAATGGTTTTTCCGGTGTACGAAATCTGGAGCAGAATCGAACAGAGTGGCAAAGAAGAAATTTTAAAATCAGAAAAGAACAGAGTGCGATTTTGCGCGTCCGTACAGATTGGTTATATTATTCGACTCCTGATCTGCTCGTGCAGGAGAATGAGGAAGAAGGAAGGAGGGCTGGGAGGTTAGAATGGTAAATTGGGAGGAGTCAGGGGGGAAGGACTGAAACGGAATATTTGGGGTGGTGGGGGGGAAGCATATAATTTAATAATTGAGAGGCCCTTGAACGCCGCCGTCATTGCGGCGGGGATGGCGTGCCTCTTCCACACATTCAAAGGAAAATTCCGGAAAAGTTTTCTTTTGAAAACCTTTTTTCAAAAAAATTTCACGTTCCAAAAAAAAAAAAGAGTTGAGAAAGGGCTCGAGAAAGGGAAAAAGGTAATTAACGTAACACGATGGTAATTATAACATATATAACTATTATGAGTAGATTTGAGTTGTGCTAATTTTAGTTGCAAGTCATTCTTGCTTTCGTTTCTCTCTTTTTGCATTGTCACTCATTTCCTCGGAATTTTCGGTGGTTGGACTACATTCATCCCCTTTCACAATGATTCGGAACGCTGTGCCATGCCCACGAGTTGCACGACGAAATGCCTTGACTGAAATCCGATCGCTAGTTTCCTTTCTTTTATCCGGGTAGTTTTTGTTCCTTTGCTTTCTCCCTCTCCCTCTATTTTTTCTTATGTCGTCTCCTTAATTCCTGCCCGCTAACTCTTCTCTCGGCTTCCTTTACTTACTCTTATACCAATAATGGTCTAGAGACGAGCATTTAGGTCCAGAGTTAAATGCTCGTCGATTGAGATTTGAGATCGATCATGGTGCCTTGTAAAGTTGTAATCTAGTGGCATATCTCACCCATCCTTTTCCTTATCAATGCCTAAGATGTTCATCAACCAAGTTAAAGTGGTTTCGATGGCTAGTAATCTAGCATTAGTATCTATAACGATGATAACATTAGGAGCTAGAATTCAGGGTTTTTAGTTAATAGCCATATACACATAGCTAGGTTGAATATAATCAAAAACGCGTTTCTATATATAAGCATTTTGGTGACCTAAAAACGTAAAAGTGCAAGTTTTTAAGTTTTCAAGTGCGTTTTAACAAGACTAGCTATAAAAACCACCATTCTATGTATGTAGAAGCGTTTTTGGTGATCTAGAAGGGTAAAACCGCAAGTTTTTAAGCTTTAAAACTCGATTTTGACTATATGAGCTAGGTTGATTCGTGGTGGTTTAGGTTTCTACTTCCTTTTCTCTGATGTACCTATATTCTTTGCTATATTTGGAAGGAGGGGAACTGAATCTTGACACCCTGCTGCTATATAGACTTTGCTTTAGTTTCTGTTATTCACCACTGACTAAGCTCAACGAGAAAACCCACTTGTTTGATATGCTATCCCTCTCTTTTTTTTTTTTTTTTTTTGTACCCCAAGTGGAGAGGGTGAATAGATCGGGTGCGTACGTTTCACTAACGTCTGCAAGTACTCTCTTGTCTGGTTAAAAAAGTTTGCTTTAAGCAATTGATTAAAGCTTTTGATCTACTTGTTTCACTAGTAGGGTAAGAAACGTAAGAGGATGGCCCAGTACTTTGCACCTGCAATTCGGGTGAAAATTCTGAGCTTCAAGCATACACGTTCATGCAACCAGATCATCAAACAGTAAAAAGAGAGGAAAGGGTAGGGGTGAAATTCTTTTCTGAAAGAGTCACAGAACCCGTATGGGACTGGTTGGTTAGCTAGTGATGATAGGGGCAGCTGATATATTCCTCCATAAGAGCGGCTGGTGCATGTATTTACGCCCGCAGTGAGTGAGAGCACGTACAGTTTGTAATTATAGATACAGCTGGAGGTTACTTGCAAGAAAAGGCTCTCTATGGTACATAATAGGAAAGAACAGATACCAAACCCTTAATTGTCACACGCAACGCAAACCATGTAGGGTACATAGGAGGTATATATACCGATAAGTTTCGGTGGGTAGCATATGAACTCATTCAATTCATATGTGTTTTATTGTAATTTAAACTTGCTCTGTTGAATATTACTTGATCTAACTCGTGCTAGGGCGGGTATACCGCCTTCCAATAACGTGTGGTGGGAAATGGGTACTACTTATGCCCTGCCCAACCTCGTCTTATCCCTTTTTTGACCCGCACCCTACCTTGATTTGTCTCAATAATTTTCTTGTTTTGATTTATACCAACTCATATTTTCATCCGACAATACTTTAGATATGTACAATACTTTATTTTTTATTTACTAATAATTGGACTCCATTAGTCTACCTATTATCTCTATTTTTTATTTACATATTTTTTTTGTTTTATCACTAAAAAATGAATGTTTCCTTCAAAATTTTAAATGATATATAAGAATAGGTCGACCTGTCCCAACCAGTACTCACACAAGTATCACCCGACCTGACCAACACTTGGTACAGAATAAGTATAAGTATTGAGATACACCACCATCATCACTAACTACTAGGTTATTCACAGTTTTAGGGAACCACTCTAGAGTCTAGTGGCCTAATTAATGACAACCTTTAATGAGTGTTGATTACCATAACTTTTTTTTATATCATTAAGTCGTTTCTAACTTCGAAAGCCCGGAAACTTTTATGATGGAACAGTACGAGTGCAGGTAAAATATGAAACAAATTTAGATTTTTTTTTCTCCTAAAATACATTAGCGATGGAAACAATCACCATTACTATCTTTGAAAAAAAGAATATAGCATCCTGTCTATGCATGGGATCATATAGCCGTGTCTGAATGTTTGTTCCATCGAATATGTATGAATATATTATTTGATCCTAATGGTATATTATATAATATCATGTGCAGTATAGTTATAAAATAAAATAAATATGAATAGAAGACATGTGAGACCCACTTTTATAAAATACAATTGTAAATACTTCACACTTCATGCATTTGAACCCCCTACGTGTTACTTTTAATATGTGTACCATAAGTAAAACATGTCGATGAAATCTTGGTCTGTTATGTTTAAAATTTTAATTATCTCTAACATAATATGCCCACCAAATCCTTTTTTTTTCTTGCTTATATAACAAAATTGTCAGTGATGATAGGTTTACAACAGTGAGGGGGATTTATCATTATTGTGCACAAATATTTTAATTTTGGGTGCAAACTTATGCCAATTGCCTTGTTTGGGCAATCAGCACTACAGAACGCTGCAACTCGCAATTCGAAAGCAACTTAAACAATAATAATCATGTAAAAAAAATTGTATTCTTTTGTCGTGGGGGATGTATTCCATATTTCCATTTGCATGCTGCCAGTAATCCACTTGTAGCTAGCTGACTAATTAATTATTCTTCTCTTTTTTCTTTTGCTTTGTTTTTTTGGGATTCCTTTTAGTTTATTTTATGTTTTGATAAATTGTAGGAACAAACATTTATTTTTGTAGGAGCGGCGCAACGGCGAAAAAGAAAGGGCAAAAGCGGATCCGGCAGCCACGCTTCGCCTTTATGACCAAGAGCGAAATCGACCACCTCGAAGACGGCTACCGATGGCGGAAGTACGGCCAAAAGGCCGTCAAAAACAGCCCTTACCCCAGGTTCTACACTCAATCACCAATATTTTACCCTTTTGGAAGGGCATTCCCGTAACTATGGCACGAACGAAACTCCTTTGGTCGTTATTTATTTATTTATTTATGCAGGAGCTACTACCGGTGCACGAACAGCAAGTGCACGGTGAAGAAGAGAGTGGAGAGGTCGTCGGAGGATCCGACGATCGTCATCACGACGTACGAAGGGCAGCACTGCCACCACACCGTCGGATTCCCACGTGGCGGAATCATCGGCCATCATTATCACGATGCAGCCACGTTCGGCGGTGGCGGACCCTTGTTAACTCCAGCGCCGATGATGTCGCATTTCTACCACGTCCCGGCCGGATTCGCCCACGGCGGCGGCGGCAGCGGCAGCGACACGCCGTCACCGGCCGCCATGATGCAGCAGTCACAGCAAGCAGGGGATCATCAACATCAAGTAGCAGGAGAAGGTAGAGACATAATTGCTTCGACGCCGACTACAACTAGTTCCCACCGCCACGACCAGCAGCGGGACAAGATTCCTACCGACGAAGGACTGCTCGGCGATCTTGTGCCTCCTGGAATGCGCAACAGATGAATTGCACGCACACAAAAGAACAAGGTACGCAACTACTGACTACGTACTAATTTAAGTTTATGAGATGTCACGTTTCCTAGTAATATTATATATATGCCACTTCTTTTCCGGACGGTACTTTGTGCCAGAATATGAGGTTACCTAACAATGCTTGAACCCACTTTCCTTTTTCTTCTTCTCATTCTTTCGAGTTTTGCTCTGCACCTCTCGTTAACAATCGGTACTTGTACCAGAATATGATGTTAGCCTGTGCAATATGTCTATCATGTCAAATTCATCGTGAATATGCACTATCTCGCTATCGTGCTTTCATAAATAAAAAAAAAAAAGTGAGAACGTGCTCACAGAATTTGGGAGCCATCGGATCAGGTGATGTGCCCCGTGATTGTTGGATGGGCGCGGTGGGCATGAGACATGCCCAACACCCGATCCGACAGCTCCCTGTCCCGTGAGCACATTCTCGCAAACAGTGACGGACCCATAATTGTCGGAGGGGTGTGTTGCTGATAAAATAATATAATAATTAAAAAATTAATAGAAATTAAATAGAAATTATTAGAAATTAATTCATAAAGTTCATGTTTACTAGAAATGCCTGTAAATACATTCATTGCTTATGTTGCGAAGCAAATCCTTTTCCATATACACAACTAATCAATGATTCATAAATCGGTCACTCAACCGACTTCAAAGTTCATTCTTGATTATCTTCATAGCTGAAATCTTTCGCAACTTTCAATTGCAACATGTATAGTCAACACCAACTTCCAAAAGCAAGTAAAACTAAAGGGTAAAAGAAAAGGGAGATGTGGTAGTGGCTCTCAGTAATTAGAAACTAAAACGGGGTAAGGGTGAGTTTTTTATTTTCAATAAAGGAAGGGTCAAGGGGTGGAAACGGTGAGTTTCAATGGATGGAGTTATGTTTATTTTTTCCATTGTTGGGTTGTGGTAGGGATGACAACCAAACCCATGGTCGGGGGTACCTGCCTCCTCCGACCCTATCAACGCAGGAATCCTTGCGTTGACTGGGTATGGGGCGGGTATGGATAAAACCCTCAAAAAGGTTGATGGGTATGGGTTGGGTATGGTTTTTGACTCTCCCGCCCCATACCCATACCCAAACCCGCCAACCAATGATATTATGTTATATACATAAAATATAAGGAATGTATTGTAACTTGTCAGTCGAATGAATGGTAATTAAAAGAAAAAATAAAGTGTTCAAATGTAATTGATGACAACCAAACCGTAATTTCATCCTCTTATATATTAGTTCCTTAATTTTGGGTGGGTAGTATCCATATTTGTCACCATATTCTTTTATTAATGGTGAGTAGTTGTTGGGGCGATATTACCCATGGGTATCCGAAAAGCGCGGGTATGATGATGAGTTTGTAAGACCTTCCACTGCATGGGTATGAGACGAGTATGAGTTTGAATATTTGGAAATGGGGATGAGGTTGATTTAGGTAAACCCGTCATATTGCGATCCCTAGGTTGTGGTGTGGGTTACTCTAAAACAAGCATACTTATTTGAATTTACTTATTATTGTGTATTACTAATTAAGATAAATAACTTTATAACAAAAAATCATTCTCATATAATGAAGGTGTGTCGCTCACAATTATTTAAGGTGTGTCGTAAGTCCCGAATTAAAAAAAATGTACCAAAAATATATAGATACTTCACAAAATTTACGGGCGAGGGTGTGTCGGACGACACACCCTGCCCTTTACTAGGTCCGCCACTGCTCGCAAAAGGGTTGTAATCACCATAGCTGGATTGGAATAGAAATTTTACAATTCGTTATTATTATGTAACCCTAGAATTACAATACATAATAAGTTACATATATAAGTTGGACACTATATAAGCTATGAATAGTTGAATCAGTTAGCCTGACTAGTATCTATAGCCTTTGTGAATTCTCCTCACTACCTTTATGGCCTCGCCAGTTGATGTGACAAATGCTGAACTTGGCTGGTAATCCATAAACTTTGCGCTGGTAGGGCATTGTTGTTATTATTACTACTACTACTACTTCTCTCCTGCAAGAGTGATGTCGACCTTCTACTTGTGGCCTTGCATCCATTCATCCATCCATCATCATAATCATCACATAATTGTTATTGGCTCCTAACTTATCCTCTACTCTCCCTTACTCACTTACCCTGAATGGGTCTCTACCATCTTATCCTCTTCATTATTGCTAACTTTATTACGTACAATTGGCTTCTTCGATCTAGTAAATTTACGCAACAGCATAACATGGGACCTAGAGATTATGGGTTTTCGTGGAGATGAGGACACGGTGTGATGTGAAGCTTTGCTTTGGTGATTCTAGTTGAAAACCCATTTCTTTTTTCCTACAGGATTACATGGTCTGTGGCGCAAGTATTTCTACGGTGGCGGAGCGACGGTTCGGTTCGTATATCGACGGTATTATGTACGATATTAATTAAACCTTGATTGGGTGGGGATAGATAAGGAGCCCAAGCAAGTAGTACTGGTCCCTCGAGAAGCATGCGATTAGAATGGGCCATGCAATGCAAATGCCCACCACCAGCATTAATCCCGTGGTTGCATTGGGCCCTCGATACACGCTTATCATCCAGATCGCCATCAAGTGGGGGTAAGTATATCATTAATGTATCTTAATCATGATTAGAAAGCTGATGTTGATTATGATGCTGATGCAATATTGTTTGTATACTAAAGTGTGAATAGTGGAATTGGGAGAGGGAATAGTTGTGGTAGGAGGAGGGGAGCCTCTAGGATAGGAGAAGGGGTGATGATTTTTTTTTTCTTTTCTAATCCACTACTGTTGCTTGTGGTCCAAGTAAGTACAATGATGGTCTAGTTAGGATGCATGGTGGGCTCAGGGGCTAGATTGTACTACTGTATTTACAGAGCAGAATCCCATTCTTCCTGGACGAGAAGATCATTTCACTTCTCTATCTTTGTTGTGGCAGAGAGAACTATATATGACTTATTTATCCAGAAAAAAAACTACTGCTGTAATATTTCACCATTGTGTAACTGTTCTTGATCTTCATTCCTTGGGTAAAAACATATCGCCTGCTGCTACTTTTACTGCAAGCTCTTTCTTTATCTTCACGCAAGAAGTAACATTAGGTAGGTAAGTATGCTAGTCAGAGATCTATTGGTGTAGCATGTACGGCTCATGGATGATGAGCTGCAAATGATTGCAATTGTAAATCAATGATGTGAGATGAGTTGTGGATCCTTCAATTCGAGTGACTGATATGGTATTATCTTTGGCCATAAGGTTATCTCTACATAGATGAAGCATCTGTTCGTTAACGATTTTTTAATGGCTTAATGTCAGTTAAATAAAAAAAACTTTTATGCTCCAAATTCGATACTGATAACATTTGATTTATTACTGAAAGTTCTTTCGAGCTCTTTTTGCAAACCTAGCCATGCTACGTGCATTACAACATGATTGCTTTTTTTGGTTTTGGTCGTGTGAATTTCCAAGTTGCTTCAGGGTCGGCCACCACTGCTCTTTTCACCCTACTTTGTGTTATTTATTATCTATGTCTACTGCCTCCTAGCTTTTCCTTTTGGCTTCTTTGAGTTTTCCCCGACCCTTCAATTTGTTCGCTTTGATCAGATGAGATTTGATTTTCTCTCCCGCTTTGATTCTTTCCTTCCCCTTTGGCCCATTATTTTACCCTTGCAAGGTGGTTCCTCTTTTTCCTCAACTAGCATCTTCCTGTTTGGAGTTCAAGCTTTATACAAGTGTGATCGGCAATAGTTGCTTCTCTTGTTCATTCAAAACTTACATAAACCAAACTACACCATAAGAAGGCACAAAATCACTCTTCAAGGGTGCTGGTGCGAACATCCTTCGAGCAGTGGCAGGTGCTGGTGTGCTTCCTGGTTACGATACTGCAGCTAATTCAGTAGATGGTGGGGGCATTTAAGGGGTTAGGGAGAGAACAATTATGTTGAAGAGAACTTAGAATGCTTGTGTAGGGGTCCTTTTCGAATGAAATATGTTGTTGTAGTATGATATTCTTTAATAGGGAACGGATCGGGTCAGTAATTTTATGGTGAGTAACCATGAGTAACCCGTTCACATCAGCATGACATCAACATTTTTCTCTTCTGGAAAGTCTTTAATTTTCCCCTCCTTAATCTTTGATGACGATTTCTCACTCGTTTTAAGTCAAAATTTAATTTTTTTGCACAGTTAGATCAGATTAGTTGTGCTCTTCAAAATGATATCCACTTTGATATATTTTTCGAACAAAAAAAATTGAGCCCTTTTTTACCAGTCTATACCATATGGTATTGACTGGTATTGAAATAAGAGCATACCTATGGTTTGAAAAGCGTACCATGGTGGTATGAACAAACCAAGACTGTAGGATGGTTGAATACATGATAGTAGAAGTATATTAACTGTCATTTACGACTTTTAACATTGTGTACCACAAGATACCACCCCGTACCAGGGTGGCATTGTATGGTATTGTGTGATATTTTTTTGGTCCTGTAATTTGTTCACCCAGAAATTTGTATATTCAATAGATCATGCTGAACTCGTCCCTTCTGTGCAAACGTTTTCAAAAATGAATTAAAAACGAAGAAAATACCATATGGTATGCTGTTGGTATCGAGAGGTCAGAATTTTTTTCTCAAAAAAATATTGAAAATTAATCTCATTTTGTAGAGAACGATGAACTCGTTTCATCTGTGAAAAAAATAAAAATCCGAGTTAAAACGAAAAAGATATGAGCCGATTAAGAAAGCTAGGAAAAATAAAAATGGTCTTTAATTCTCCATCCTTAGATCTGGATTTTCTAAATGAAAGGTCCATATTTGATTATTGATGGGTGCATAACCCATTGTTATGCACCCTATCTTGAGCCCTTTAATAGGGATAAGTCTTTGTCCTGATCGATTTTGTATTCCTTGTACTAGTCGTCTAACTCACTTGTACTGTCACACTAGAAAGTGGCTAAGTGTAACCACCTACTAATGCGTAGTATAATGGGTTTAGCTTTATTTGTCAACCCAGGTCCTAGGTGTGATGACTACTCCGTGAAATTCTTGTTATTTAGTTATTTAATTATAGTGAGGTTGTAACTAAACTAAACAAACACAAAGCAGTAAAGGTTGTGGTTCAAGTTTGAGAATGGTCACCCGGATTGCAGTTAAGCCGAATTGTAATTCACCAAGTCCAAATTCAATGACAGTTATACTGCGAAAAGTTCTTATTCAGTCTGAAGTCTCGACTAAAGGTCTCCAAACCCTCTCAATACCCGACGAGCGACCAACCTCCACCATAGTAAACGAACTGAGGCCCTAACGTGCCAAGCCTCCTCTACTGGAGCAAATCTAGTACAGAGCAATATTGAATTGACTCCACGACTAAAGTAGTCAATTCACCACTTTCAATTAAGGGTGCTCTATCAACCTAGTCAGATATTCTCTTTCTAGGTCAAATCATAAACTACAAGAATGTGATCATGATTCATGCAATTCAGAAATCATGCCAGAATAGAATATAATCAATGTCAAAAGATCATGTACTTGGGTTCATACAATCAAACCTACAAATCTAGGGTTCTTCATACCCAGGTGAGAGAGGGAGTTTTTACTCCATAGAGAGAGAAGAGAAATCAGCTTCAGATGCATAAATCATCTTGTGGAGGATGATAATGAGCTTCTGGTTGTCAATCGGTGCTTCTCCAGGCTTCAATCGAGCTCCAATGGTGTTCAATCTCAATCTATATCACCTTGGAGAGTTGGTTTATCACTTTCTCTCTCTAAAACTCTATTTCAGTTCTCATAACTCTGATCCCTCTCAAAGACTCAAAATTGTGTTAAAACCTAGATCTGCCCGATTTCACGGCCAGACTACACGGCCGTGTAAAAATTTAGTCTACCCGTGTAACTCCCAAAATGCAACATTGCACTTAGTTGGTCGAGGGAAGTCACACGGCCAGACCACACGACCGTGTGAAATTAAGCGTTGCCCATGTAGACCCCCTGGACATCCCGTACGGCCAAAAGGTGCCCTTGCACGGCCAGTACGACCCTGCCCGCATAAATGGCCTTGCACGACCAACTCGTACGACCGCGTAGAATCATGTCATGGCCGCGTAAAATCCTCAGCTTTCCGTCAAACGTCCTAACTTCGTCTTGTAGACACCACATTTTGTCTGGGGTAAACATATATTTAGTTAAATAAATTTAGTTTTTGTTTAAAGTTTGCAATAGCGAATCTTTAAATGAACTAACTAAAACGTATTTATTGTGCTAGGAATGGGTCTTGTTTGCCATAACTCAATTGAAATTAAGCAATAGCGAATTTCGATCAATATTATTTGAGAATTAACGTGTTTTGCTTTAATTGAGCAAGGCAAGCATTTGTTGGCTATGTTTGTCACATGAATTGACAAATCAAATTAATTCTAAAGGCATTGGGCTTTGCAACATTGGGCCTCGACTTTCGGAAAGAAAAATAACAAAATAAAACTTTTTATTTATTCAAGTCTCAATAAATGACAAATACAATAATAATTATAATTACAATAAGGAGAAAGAAGTACTAAGTAATAAACAAACATTACAAAAAATTAATGATAGTTACATGTACAAAAAGAATCAAACATAAAGAAAAAACTCCAGCCCAATTACAATGCCAAACTCAATCCATTTCAAAGTCACATGCCTAGTCAATATCCAGCCCAACTAAAAGTCAAACTCTGGTCAAGCCCACTCTACACTGGCCCAAATTCGGGTCAACCAAAAGTCAAAGTCAATAAAAGTTCAACCCAGTTAACCCGGTCAGATCTGGTCCGACCCAAATCGGTAGTGTAGTAAGCTTGCTCTCCAAGCTGCATGTTCTATAAAAGAACCCTCGACACTAGCACAAAGGGGGATCAACTTCTTCTTCCTTTGGCTTCATCTTCACCATTTAAACAAAACCCTAAAAAAACACACACATACTTCTTCTCTTCCCTTTTCCACAGACGAGGACTTATTTCTTCTCCTTGGCAATGACTTCCTTTCCTCTGAATAAGGACGTATTCTTATTATTCTCTTCCATTTCCACACAGACCTCTTCTTCTTTTCACCTCCTTTTCTTTCTCTTCCCTCACTAAACATACACAAAGAAAGCGATAGGTTAGGAAAAGAAACCATACTACCACACATATGGAGAAGAGAAACTAGAAACAGACGTAAAAAGGAAAAGCTCTAAAAAGTTATCACTTTCTCTTCTCTAGTCAACACCACAACATACCACAAAATAGGAAAAGTGAGAGGAAACAACAACTCATCCCCTTCATCAATCATCCAGGAAAACGTAAAAAAATACCACCAGTGTTCTTCTATCACAAATCAACTCCAAACAACTTACAAGATGGTAAAGTTACCATAAATGCAAAGCAATAGACAAAATCATATTTATTGTTTTCCTTTTAATGCTCCCTACTTGCTATCTACATTCATTTTATCTTGTAGTTTATAGGGCTAATACCACTGGGAAACCCGAACTATTAACTTTGTGCCATTTGTGTCCCAAAGTATTTGATATGACATTTGTGTCACAACGTATGATAGTTGTGTGTCATTTATGTCCTGACGATTTCGTTGACCGTTATAGATAACGGTTGACCAAACGGAAGTCAACATTAACATTGACTTTTGTTGACGTGGCAGCCACATAGATGCCACGTCATTGACACATCATATTTTTTACTAAAACTAAATAAAAATTAAAATAGAAAAATTATAAAATAAAAATAATTAAGAAAATAAAAAACCGCCCCTGCTTCTTCCTCTTCCTCTCTTCTGGATGTCCTGCCCTGCAACTTTTAAGAAATCCATAATTCACTTAGAACCCTAATTTGTCACACACGAGCCGGAAATGAAGTGCAGCAGGGAGACTTCCCGGCGGGCAAGTCCGACCCCTCGTACAGAGCGTGGAACTGAGAGAGGGAGGCAAATTCTACCAGAATCGGAGTGTTTCAAGGAGAAATCTACGAAATGGGCGAGAGGGTGGTAGTTTCGTTGAAGTTTGTTACAGTGTAAACGATGAATCCTGGCAGATCTCCAGCCGGCGCCACTGCCACCGAGCGCTCCCATTTCCCCTCTCCTTCAAATCCTTTTCATTTTTCCTCGAGAAAACTCCAAATCCAGATTCGTAACACCATTTCTCACTCGGGAAAGCTCCAAATCCAGATTCGTAACACCCCAATCCAGATTCGCAAGAAATGGTGGATTTTCAGTGAATCGTAGAGGGGAATCGGACGGAGCTGAGGATGC